CCCCGCCGGGTGCCCATCTCCTCCTTCCCCAGAGAGGGCAGCTTCTGGAGCTGGGGCCTCTATCTGTCCCATACAGAGTCAGGTGCCTCTGCTCCCACCCTGTCCCTCCTCCCCTTCCTGCTGGGGGATTAACACTTTAAAGCATTTTTTTTCTATTCTCGAGGTGGGTTTTGTTCACTGAGCCCTTTGTTCTCCATCGCTGCTTGCCTGGCACCCAGCCTGGCACCCAGCCTGGAGCTCTGCCTGGAGTAAGCCTGTAAGGACCCAAGCGGTGCCTCTTCCCCCGTCCCCAGGCAGAGGTGACTGTCAGGGGTATGAGAGACACGGTTCAAGCCCTGAACTGAACACAACACCCCTACAAGTACCCTGTGCACTGGGGTGGCCCGAGACAGACTGAGAATTTGGCTCAGCATTAGGGCATCTGAAGGGTTTTGAGTGTGTGAGAGAGGTTAACGCCTCAGATTAAAGGTTATCCAGAAGAGTGGAGCCACCTCCTGCCCAGCTCCGTTGCTGACTGGTGTCGTGGGTGCTGGTGTAAAACCTCCTCCCCTGGGCTGTGTCCTGGCAGGCTGTGAGCTGTGTCTGCTCTCCAGAGAGGTTTATTGCTGGACAATTCCTCCTGAGATGGGACTGGGGACCACGGGGCTGCTCTCCTGAGAAGGGTCCCACCCTCATGTCTGCTCTGTTTCCCATGGGAAGCTCTTCCCTGCCAGGGAATGCCACTTAATCTTTCAGAAGCCCATCTCCAGCTCTCCTTCCAACTGCCTCCCTCCAGTTCCATTTCTCAACACAAAATCTGTGGTCTCCAGGGAGGGAATTTGCTGCTTGTCTCCCAGGGCACCCCCAGCTCCTCTGGGTGTGCAGCCAGCAGGAGTCCTGGAGCTGTGCTCTGAACAAACAGTCGTGGCTGAGGTTGTGGTTCCCAGGCCCATTGCAGCTGCTCTCTTTGTGCTGCAGCCAAATGCCTCATCCTGGGGCAGCCGCCTTCCCCCGGCCCCTTCCATCACACTGCAGTGCTAGAGGAAATGTCAGTCTTGGTGGCCTCAAATTTAAGTCTTAATGGCCTGAAACTTAAGTCTTCATGGTCTAATCGAAGGATTATTACTTGTTCTAACTGCTGCAGAAAAAGAAAATAGTGCTACAGAAAAGGTTTCAGCAAGAACGTGACTTATGCTTGATTTCTGTACGTGGAGTAATTGTTCTTTGCTACCCCTGAAACCAGTTTGGCCCAACTCCCCAGATTTCTGTACCCAGCAGTAAGTGGCCACTGGAGCTGTGGGCTCGGGGTTCAAAGCCCTGGTGTCTGCAGGATGATCCTGCACCTCTCTCAGGCAGTGCCCCTACCTGCTGGAACTGCACCCCTACCTGTGGCCACAAATACTCTGTACAAGAGCTGTGCTACCAGTTACACCCGGAGTGAACCTCTGGAAGCTCAACAAGGCCAAGTGCAGGGTCCTGCACGTGGGTCAGGGCAATCCCGAGGACAAATCCAGGCTGAGGGTGCAGGGCTGGAGAGCAGCCCTGGGGAGAAGGCCCTGGGGGGGCTGGGGGTGAGGAGCTGGCCAGGAGCCCCCCCCAGCCTGGGCAGCAGGGCAGGGAGGGGATCCTGCCCCTCTGCCAGCTCTGTGAGACCCCCCTGCAGTGCTGGGGCAGCTCTGGAGTCCTCAGCACAGCAGAGCCAGGGACCTGCTGGAGCGGGGCCAGAGGAGCCCCAGCAATGCCCCGAGGGGGGAACCCCTCTGCTGGGAGCCCAGCAGGAGAGAGTGGTGCTGGGGCAGCTGAGAGGAGAAGGCTCCAGCTGGGGAGACCTGCTGGGGGCTGCCAGGACTGCCAGGGGCCTGTGAGAAAGCTTGGGGGGGGGACTTTTGAGCACGGACTGCTGGGACAGGACAAGGGATAACGGTTTCAAACTGAAAGAGAGCAGATTTAGATTAGATATAAGGAAGAAATTCTTAACTGTGAGAGTGGTGAGCCCCTGGAGGAGGTTACCTGGAGAAGCTGCAGAGGCCCCATCCCTGGAAACATTCCTGGTGACGTTGGACAGGGCTTTGAGCAGCCTGGTCTAGTGGGAGTTGTCCCTGCCCATGGCAGGGGGGTTGGAACTAGATGATCTTTAAGGTTCCTTCCAGCCCAAACTGATTACATAAAAGTGACACAAGCTAAGTGGTGACATCTCCTCATTAGACAACTGCTGCTCCAGTGACTCCAGCCAGACCCGAGGCAGCCTGAGGGGGGGTTGTGTTGAACCACGGCAGCTCTGCTGGGGGAGGACACTGGGGGATGTTGAGTCTTCAGAAGCACAGAGGGGTATACCCTGTGACTTTTCCACTTGGGTTAAGACTGACATGGTGGGAACTTACATTTTGTAGAGAGTGGGTGTGTAACTGGCATTCCTTTCCCTGTCACTGTAGTTAGGAGGAAGCAGAGTCTCTGCCTGAACTGCCATCGGTACAAGGATGTCTTAGGGTTTCTGACTGAGCTTAGATTGCAGTAAGTTACTTGTACACAGTCATGGTCCAACCCAGTAGATACCTGAGAAGGGTGGAGGGAGCAGCAGAAATAGGCAAAGCCAGCACAGGGAAGCAAATAGAGAAGCAGCAAGGAAATGGGAGGAAGGTTATCTAGAGGTTGCTTGAGTTTTTTAGTTGAAAGCTAGAGAAGGAAGTAGTTGTTAGCCAGAAAGGGGTGCAGATGTTATTGGAAAGATTGCAGTGGTAGGTGGTAAGCCATGACAGGCTAAATAGCAGAGGAGTGGTGGTTTCACACAGAGAATTGGGAGCGTTTTGGGGGAGGAGTCGGCCTCCCCCCTGTTTGTGGGAAGTGCAGGTGCTGTGGGTGCTGGTGTGGGGTCCTGCAGCACCCACCCAGCGTGGGCAGCACCCAGCAGGGCAGGGATGAAGCTGCAGCTCGTGCTTAGCCTGGGCCAGGGACCGTCCTGCTGCGGGTGCCTGGAGCTCAGCACCCTCCTCGTGGGCGCCCACAGCAGCGGCTCAGCAGGGCACTTCTCTGGGGGTGTTTCAGAGGCTCCTTCCCCAGGCTCCCCGTGGAGATGCAGGCAGACTCCCTCCTCCACAGCGGCTAATCCCCCCCCCCGCCCCC